CATTACAAACAACATACAAATTTACAAAATTATTTTCGTATATAAAACATAATAACGTCAGTATTTTCTAAAACTTGATATATCTTCATGTGCGATATAAAGAATTCTTTCTATACTTCCTGACTCAAGTTTGTGTGCAAGTAGCGTTGTCAAAACAGGATAAAAAATCCTGTATTTTTCGTATTTCCCAATTGCTAATAAATCATTAATTAATAAAAATTCATGAGTAAATATATGCCTACGAAATATAGCTTTCATTATTACTAAAAACGAGACGTTTGGATGCGTGCAGATAAATAAATAGTGCATTATTTGTAGATCATACTCCCAAACATCTCATTGCATATCTAACAATCGTAAATGCGCGTAATATTCAACTGCCTCTCCAAATTCGCTCTTATTTTTTTATTAACTTTTTATTAATTGCGAACATCGTGACGCGTTAAGAATTTTTTTAGTTATTATTAGTAAAATCGGCTTTGCCTGCATATAAGCTCTCTGTCAATAATGATTAGATAGCCTACAAAGAAATACATAAATGAATACATAAGTAAGTTACACAAGTAATATCATAACATTATTATATAATGTCATGTGTTTCATATTACAATTTTCCTTTCTAAAATTAATAATTTTGCAGAATGCATGCATATTTAACATAACTATTTTAATTTTGCAGATGCAGAAATGGATACGTAAGAATCTTACTAATTCATTACTTCAGAATACTCAACACAAAATAAAAATGCGTCTCAAGAAACTCTTTATGTAAGTAGATGATGAATGTAAGATGATCCTGCTTTAGTCTTTAATGGATTATATAAGAGAAGATTGCATTAAATTTATGCTGCTCTATGTACTATTTCGATATTACTGCCAGTGCTAAAAATGTATTTCGTGTCAGATATCATAGTTTTTGAATATTGTTAGAAAAAAATCGGAATACAATCTAGGATTTGTTATTTCGTGATTAAAATAGATACATATCGGTATTCACATCTTTCTTGTTTTCCACTTTGTAGATATCTCTTTGTAATTCGACAATCAATCTCAGAGAAGAAAACAGACTGATATCGTTAGAAACTTCTGACATTTATGTTAGCATTATTTTAAAATATATTATTAATATTATTACAAATTATTCTTATACATAATTAATTTTATAATAATTATTAAAAATATATACTATAATGCCTATAGAACTTCTGTATATATATTTTAAATGTATGTGTAAAATAAACGTCAAATAATATATAACGATTTTATATTAATCTTATCTTTGACTAGTCGCCTAGTCTTATTTTTCGAAATTGATTTATCGCGTTTTATGAAAAAGACTACAAAATAATTAACGAGGAAAGACATGAATATTGATAATTTGTTCAAAATTTCAAATTATAATTGTTATTCTCAATATTTGAAATTCTGTGAATACAATTAACAAAATAATTTAAATAATTGAGGTATTCTTAGAGAATTTTTGTATTTAATATTAATTTAAATAATTATTTATTGTTTATCAATAAACCTTAATAATTACGAGTAATTCATTAATAATATAATTACCTATATAAGAAGACATTTTAAAAATTTTTACATTTAATTGCATTCTTCTTTATTTTTATGTTAATAAATTTTAAGAGAAATATTTCAATATACACTTTGTATTGTTAGCTTAATTTCTATTAAAATCAATTTTAATAATACATATTTAAGAACATAACAACAAAAAAACAATGGTAAACTGAATTTAGTATAAATAATGACATGTTATATTTATACCTCCCACTGCTTATTATAAAGTCCCTTATAAGTACCGATGTCTGTTGGCACGGTCATTACTTTGTAACAAACTGTTGAAGTAGAGGGATTCAGAGAATACATTATTTTCTATCACTTATAAACGGTAAATACAACTTGAACAAATTATTACAAATCATTTTAAATATCATTAAACCTATACAGTTTTAATACATTAATTGATTAATACATTAATACATTAATACATTAATTTTAATACATTAATCAATAGTACAATATCTATATGTATCTATATATATTGTTAAATAAATATAATTTTTATAAAGATTTAAACGCATTTCAGAACGCAAGTATAGCTTACATACAATTTCTTTTTAAAATTATTATTAACATTAAAGGTTTTTCTTAAGATAAGTTTCACTTCACTTTGTTATAGATGTGTCGGTATGATATTAAATATAATAATGAAACGATATGTTCTCATAACACTAATAAACAATTCTACTTCTTTCTCGATGTAGTAGATAATAAAAGAAACTTTTAATCAATATTAAAAATTTGCGTACTGAATTTGAGAGAATCAATGCGTTACAAGTCCTAAAAATAACGGCGCGTAACATAATTTAATTACTTGAATTTAGATACACAGATTTAGATAGACAGATATATGATATTTAAAAATTAAGAATCTATCTCTTTCGAGAACAAGCTGTGATTGTTTTAATTATTTTTATACTTTTCTGTTGAGATCCTATAAACCTATCAATAAAAAAAATCTTTAACTATGATTTCATAGTTTTTGCAAAATTTCGATGATATAATTTTACTTCATATTTCTGTTTCTTATAAAAAATACATTTCTGTAAATAAAAAATTTGTTTAGATGAATATTACCAAATTAATAAAATTGTTATTATATGGAAGTTTACTAAATTACGTTATGGCTCTTTACCAACACAAAGAAAATGTATTTGACAAATTTAAAATAAATAACAAGCAAATAAACAGACCAAAAACAATGAGAATTAGAAGATCAGAAGTAATCAAAATCACTAAGGAAATTAGGTCCAACGCTACACACTCTTACATATATCAAATGTTTCAAACCGTACGTGTTAGGCTTGTCAATCCTCGTTTGCCTGATTTTATAAAACCAAAAAATACGAAATTGAATTAACATTAGAGACAGGAGAGGATATCTTCTATGGAGAATGTCGTATTACGATTATGATTCTTAAGGCTACACAAAATATAAGCCTGCATTCAGCAAATTTGGAAATAACTGAAGTCATGTTAACTGGAAAGATTGATAAATATGTAATAGTGGATAAAGAACGTGATATTTCGTATATACACGAACTGCAAATTGTCGTCTTGGATTTCTCTGAAGTTCTACGTCCTGGTAATTATACTTTGAGCATAATGTATAAAGGTGTTATTGCTAATGATGGAGGTTTTGTCAAGGTCTCATATATAAATGCGATAAGAGAAAAAAAGTGAGTAAGAAAAAATAAAATCACATCACATTAAAAATATTATGTAATAATGTCTAAAATGAGTCTACTATTTATATCTATTAAATACTGATAAATATTATATAATAAAAATTAAAAAGAATCTCTGAACTAGTGAAAATTAATGATTCACAATGGCATAGGCGGTCTAATAAAGTTCTTTAAATATATGAAAAATAATATGTTATAACTCTGTTAATGTTATAATATTTATAGAGTTTTAGAAAAAGCTTTAGTTTTGTTGCAAAACATATAGTTAGGTAAAGTAAACACTTTCCAAAAAGTTATAAAAATCATAACGTATAAAGTAATATTATTTCTTCCTTAAAACTTTATTAAATAAATTCTTTATAAATATTATCCGCGTATATAATATAGAATTTTTATTACGAATCTTTTAACATTTATTTATAATCTGTATATATATCTATGCATAATAACATAAATATATTGAATTGTAAAAAAGTAGTTGAAAAGAAGGTCACGTCTTGCACTAATAAAACATAAAAGTTGCAAAAATATTTCTATTAAAATATATTCGCTTTTTCCTCCTGTAATAAATTAATTTAAATGTTATTGAAATAAAAATGGTCTTATTATACAATTAATCAAATTATCAAATTATCAAAATTAATTGATCAAATTATCAAATTATCAAAATTAATTGAATATGTTAGATGGCTGATCGTAACAAATAACTCAGCGATAGGAATGCGACGACTCTTTCCATGTTGGGACGAACCCGGATTAAAAGCTGAATTTATCATTGCTGTAAAGGTTCCTGAATATTACAATGTTTTTTCAAATTCTGTTCTTTTTACATCTATGTCAAAACCTTTGACGACATACTATATCGTAACTTCTGAAATACCCACGTACCGAATAGGAATTGTGATATTTGATAAGCATGACTATACTGGTATTTCTCCTATACAAAACTTCAAATTATGGAGAAGAGAGTTGATGGAAGTACAATGGGATCAAATTTTGAAATTAATTGAAGATGTCACACGTACTATTGAACATACATGGCAACTACAGGAAGGATATTTATTAAGAAATCAATTTGCGATCGCAGGTTTGACAGATGATGGCGTGGATAAATTTGCGTTCGTACTTTACAGGTAGAATATGTTTTTAAAAAATTAATTTTGATATTTTTATAATAAAACAATTGTAGAATAAAGAAACGTAATAAATATTATATAGTATGTAATGCTACCAGTATTAAAACATAGCATATTGTGAATATTTGTATATAACGAATCATTTGTATGTTGCGTTTAGAGAAGAAGATATTATTTACAATGAAAAAATAGATCCCATTGCACGCAAAATAGAGTTATCACGTATAATAGGACGTAAAGTGGTTGGTCAATTGTTTGGTACCGCGGTTAGTCCATCATGGTGGTCTTGCATGTGGCTGAACGAGGGTATTGCTACGTTGTTCAGCGTGTATACAATCAATCAGGTATTTTTTCACGTGTGTGATACTTTCAAAGAAAACTGAATATAAGTTTTATTTGAAAACACACGAGGAGAGAAAGAATATTCTTCCAATATTTTCAATGATATTTAAGTTGAACGAAAAGAATTTTGTCGCATTCATGTGAAATCGTTTATAAAATTTTTATTAATAGAATTATATTGTTAAGGGTTATTAAACTAATGATAATAAACTAATAATTAAATTATTATTTATTTGACTATACTTGTAATGTCTAGATTATGCCTGAGAGTCGGATGTTGGATTTATTCGTAGTCCAGACTCAACAAGAATCTCTCCGTCTAGATGATTCACAAGTTATGAATGCTCTTGATTCAGAAATTGACAGTATCTCTGAAATTAATTCTCTCTTCTCTTTCACCTACTACATAAAAGGTATAGAGTACTGAATAAATAAAGTTGAAACAATTAAAACATGTAAAATTATTTAAAAACTATACCAAAAATAAATTTTTACTTTACATATTTTAATTTACATATTTTTTTATTCACTGAAATAAGTAATGACTGAAATAAGTAATGAATATTTTAAGACAAATATATTCTAGCAGCATCAAAATTTTTAATTAATTGTAGTCTTATCAATGTCTCTAAGAATTTCGATAAATTTATTGTACGTATAATTTCTTGCATGTTTGATCTTATAACGCTCATCTGTTGTAGCACCTTCTATATTGCGTATGCTACACCATACAGTGGGTGATGAAATTTTTCAGAAAGGGATTAATATGTATATGAAAAGAAAGTAAGTATTTTCATGCCTTGTATTTTTTCTCTCTTTTTCTTTATGTCAAATAAGTAATTTTTCATTTTTATTTCTTTGTTACATGATGTAAGTTTATATGTAAATAATAATTTATTATATTCTTTACTATATTCTTTGCTATTTTTGTGCCGTATAATGTTACTGCATATAAAATAATTTTCTCAAATACTGTCTTACTTCTCGAAATAAGAAAAATTTAAATAACATGTGTTAAAATAAAAAAAAAATTTGTATCCAAAAATTTGCTATATCTTAATGAATGACTT